ATTCATGCCTTTAGATTTCAATATCATGTTGATGAAGGGGGAGGGGAGACACCAAGGATGGCAAAATAGACGCATAGTTAAATTCAGATTAAACGTTTCCTATACGTTAAAAATGCTGGAAAATGCAGGCAAGCTGAACTTTTGAAACATATTTAAAGAACTCCAACTTCTATTGTCTTAATGGACCAAAAAAAGGTTTACAGAACCAAAAAAAAAAAAAACGCAAAAGGAAAACAAATGTGCCCAAGTTCTGGTTTTCTGCTCAAGGAGCCACCTGAATGTACGGGAGTCCTCCAGATCACCTCTGGACGCAGGTCTACATTGCTCAGTGTTAGATCTGGCACTGTCGGTGCGGTTTAATTGAAGGAAAGCTAAGGACTGCAGTAGTTGAGGTGAGTAACCAAGGTCCTCAGTGTCAAAGTCAAAGGGCTGAGCAGGAATGCAGTCAATAACCCAAGGTCAGAGCAGGAGGCATTCTAAAAAGATTTGGTCAAGCAAGTGCTCAAATCCAGAGAGTCCAACAGGTGAGAGGTAGTAGTAGCAAGATGAGGAATATAACAGGCAAAGATGGGTAACAGGGTCAAGACCAGGGGCAGGCTGACCATTTGGAAACTCGGGCACTGCCCGAGGCCCCTGATCAGTAGGGGCCCCATGAGATGCCCCTGGTACCTTTTTCATAGGCTTTTTTGAGTTTGGGCAAGGACACAGGGGCCCCATGATCCCCTATTGCCCAGGGGCCCCATGATTTGTCAGTCTGCCCCTGGTCAAGACAGGCTGCAAACAAACAGAAATGAGGAAACCGACCGAGGGTCACAGCCAGGAATAAAGGAACTTGGCAAAAACTGGCCATCAAGTACATTCCACATGTTATATGAACTCTACAAAGGCAACTAATGCACCTTTTATAGGTATATGGAGCAATTCATGCCTTTAGATTTCAATATCATGTTGATGAAGGGGGAGGGGAGACACCAAGGAAGGCAAAATATACGCATAGTTAAATTCAGATTAAACGTTTCCTATACGTTAAAAATGCTGGAAAATGCAGGCAAGCTGAACTTTTGAAACATATTAAAGAACTCCAACTTCTATTGTCTTAATGGACCAAAAAAAGGTTTACAGAACCAAAAAAAAAAAAACGCAAAAGGAAAACAAATGTTCCCAAGTTCCGGTTTTCTGCTCAAGGAGCCACCTGAATGTACGGGAGTCCTCCAGATCACCTCTGGACGCAGGTCTACATTGCTCAGTGTTAGATCCGGCACTGCCGGTGCGGTTTGATTTCACAGCAAACAGAAGATTTCAAATAAACGGTGAACTTAAAAAATCCGCGTCAACTGAGTAATTGTTTAGCAGCGCTCTTTGACCGACCATGGAGATATTTGGGTGAGAGGGTCATCAGAATCCACAGCCAACTGCTTAGTGATCCATGAGGAGACATCTGTGTTTACTCTGTACAAACAAGAGTTCAGACAATGGGTTACCGCCTATCCCAAGTACTGCACTGCTGGCCAAGACTGTGTTTATGATGTGTAAGGAAATGCAAGAGGATTGACACAAAGACTTAATTAAGAACATAAACCATTCTGTGGCTGGAGTGTCCAGCAGGATACAAGAAACAAACAAAAAGCCATTACTGAGTGACACGTACTAGAGCCGCCATGAATGGAAATCACTCATTTAGACAATACCCTATAATAACATTCTAAACTGCTGAAGATTTTTCATTATAATTAAACATGATCCATAAACCTGTCGACAGATAACATATGGCGAATAAAACACCAAACATCATAAAATCATACATCACTGATATGTTTTGTTGGTAAAAGATGTTAAAAAATATGTCAAGGAGCTAAACACGGTAAAGCAGCAGTTTTCTGGGCTGATGTAATATGGAAGAATGCATTCAAGTTCATCAGTTCCGTAATGACAGAAGACCATAAGGAGGCGTGGGGCATGGTACCGGCATCGGCCAAGTGGGTTATAGCCAGCCAAAAACAATGGAAGACAAAAATGTAAAGACCAAGCTGGACTACCAATTCCACTCAAGTCTGTCGAAAATGTAAATAAACCACGAAAAATCCATATAGTATTCAACATGGGAATGTGACTTGGGTCATGACCAGGGTATTAAGAATGATTTGTCTCCATTACTGCTTGACCAACTCCATTTATTCACACCAAAGTAACCACACATGACACAAATTGGAGTTTAATGACCATAGGAGCCCATTATTAATAAATTGTATAAATAGCATAGTAACAATCAATACAGTATGAATGGAGCTCCAAGGTCCTTGTAGGCATCTCCACTTAACAGAGTACCTGTAGGCCTCCAACCACAAAACACATACTCGGAAACAATAATACCGATAATTGCAGGTACAACCATGCATGACCCCCAATTCGTTGTCACTGAATCATACAAAATAAGAGGAGCCATGCCTAAGACAGGTCCCTACCAATGTACATTTTGCCCATAATGACGCCCTTCAAGGACCTTGTTCCTGCCAGCTGTTATGACATGTCCACACCAAATCCCCAACAGAATGCCACATCGTTCGCCATGGCTAAAGAAGGGAGGAATGGTAGGCAAAACAAAAGAGGGGGAAGAAAAGGGCTGCTCACCTAAAAGGGGGGAAGAAAAAGGCTGCACACCTAAAAGGGGGAAGAAAAAGGCTGCACACCTAAAAGGCTAACCTCAAAGGAACTTTATTATGCACCATAGACAGTAATGAGACATTGGAGACATGACTCTTATTACTGTCTATGGTGCATAATAAAATTCCTTTGAGGTTAGCCTTTTAGATGTGCATCCTTTTTATTCCCCCTTTTTTTGTTTTTGACAATTGATTAGGTAGCACCTTCCAGATATTCTGGTGGCACCTCCACTTTTAGATACTGTGTGTGGATTCCCCAGCATTTCCTAGTTTCCTTTTCCCTGATTTTTGAATGAATGGTAGGAAGTTTTCCCCAAGCCAACTCTCTTCTGACTGAAGGCTTCCTAGGACCCTCCCACTGACCATCTCCTGGAGCCCCCCCTGTTCCTGCCTGACCCACCAATCTAGTAGTACCCCTTGATTCCTATTTACTTTAACCTATGGAAAAAACCCACCTTTGCCAAAGCCAGTAGGCATCGCTACCTAACAAGGTACCTGTAGGCCTCAAAGCCACACATCACCGACTCATTCAATAGCACCAATAATCATAGATACTACTATGAACTCCTCCAGCTCACTGTTGCTGAACCATACAAAATAAGAGGAGCCGTACCTAAGACAGGTCCCTACCAATGTACATTTTGTCCATAATGACCACCTTCAAGGACCTTGTTCCTGCAAGCTGTTATGACATGTCCACACCAAATCCCCAACAGAATGCCACATCGTCCATCAAGGCTAAAGAAGGGAGGAATGGTAAGAAGTTTTCCCCAAGCCAACTCTCTTCCGACTGAGGGCTTCCTAGGACCCTCCTACTGACCATCTCCTGGAGCCCCTCCTGTTCCTGCCTGACCCAATCTAGTAGTACCCCTTCATTCCTGTATAATAATAATAATTCCTATTTAATTTTAACCTATGGAAAAACCCACCTTTGCTAAAGCCAGTACGCATCTCTACCTAACAAGGTACCTGTAGGCCTCCAGCCACACAACCCTGACTCAGTCAATAGCAACAACCATAGATACCACCATAAACTACCCCAGTTCACTGTTGCTGAACCATACAAAATAAGAGGAGCCATACCTAAGACAGGTCCCTACCAATGTACATTTTGTCCATAACGACCATCTACAAGGACCTTGTTCCTGCCAGCTGCTATGACATATCCACACAAAACCCGCAAAACCCCAGCAGAATTCCACATCATCCACCAAGGCTAAAGAAGGGAGAGAGGGTGGGAAGTTTTCCCAATGCCAACTCTCTTCTGACTGAAGGCTTCCTAGGACCCTCCCAATGGCCATCTCCTGAAGCCCCTCCTGATCCTGCCTGACCCACCAATCTAGTAAGCACCCCTTGATTCCTATTTACTTTAATCTACAGAAAAAAATCCTCCTAGACCAAAGTCAATAGACTTCTCTACTTAACAGGGTACATGTAGGACTCCAGCCACGCAACGCTGCTGCTTTGACATATTCACCAAACCAGTAAACCAAATGCCTCATTGTCCACCAAAGCTAAAGAAGGGAGGGACTTCAGAGTGAACACTATCTAGGACCCTCCTGTTGGCCATCCCCTGAGGCCTCACCTGTTCCTGCCTGACCCACCAATCTGGTAAATACCCCTTGATTTCTACTTACTTTAACCTACAGAAAAACCCTACATTGTGAAACCCTGCGTCCATGCTTCTCTAATATTCTGGGCCTACATTATTCATTCTATTTCATTGTAAAGCTTTCATTTAGGCCTCATTCACACAAGCTGTAAACACAGGTGGTTGAGCCATGGTTTTACCACACCTTGACCGTCCATCTAAAGTAAAAAATGAAGCCACCTAGGATTGTACACTAAGCAAAACAAAAATGATACCCCATGCCATGTTCAGTGGGCAACATCACCAGTATTCAAGTGAATGGGGCCATGCAACAAGAGCCTTACTGCGCGTTGTTGAGCGTGGTGATGCCTTAGCTCACTTCCTGTGAGCTGCAAAACAGAATATCCTCCCTCCTCGCCATCTTCTGTAAACTACCAATTGCCCTGCCCCCCCGTGTAATGGAGATGAAGAGATATGGATGCGTTGTTATTCATATCAGGTGAGCAGCCCAGAGTGACAATCATGGCTCCCTCCATAGATACAGTGGAGGAGTGTCATAGCCCCCCAGGGACAGGAAGTGTGTTATTTGGAGGATCACCGGGTCAAAATAAAAGGAATGAAGCTTGAAAAAAGAAAACAAATGCAGCCACCACACCAAGTACTAGTAATCTGCAATATATTATTAGGATTACAGCTAACACCCTGAGACACATGGGAAGGGTTTGGATACATCGAGTTTGGGGAAGAAAACTCCTTTCAGCCCCATATCCAATCGCTGTCCAGATCCTGCTGCCTCCATTTTTGTAAAATTGTTTTTTTTTTTAAATATGCCCCTTTCTTAACCAACGACAGCACAGAGCTTCTGCTCTGCTCACTGGTTGTCTCCCGCCTTGGGTATTGCAACTCCCTCCTTGCTGGCAGACCTCTAAGCAGACTATTGTCCCTTCAGTCCATCATGAATGCTACTGCCAGACTCATCCACTTTATCAATTGCTCAGTGTCCTCCACCTATCTCTGCTGATCTCTCTATTGGCCTCCGCTCAGTGTCCTCCAACCGCTCTTGGCCAATCCCTCCACTGGCCTCCACTTAGTGTCCTCCACCGCTCTCTGCCAATCCCTTCACTGGCCAACACTCAGTGTCCTCCACCCCTCTCTGCCAATCTCTCCACTGACCACCACTCTGTGTCCTCAACCCCTCGATACTAATCCCTCCACTGACCTCCACTCAGTGTTCTCCACCCCTCTCTGCCAATCCCTCCACTCAGTGTCCTCCACCCCTCTCTGCCAATCCCTCCACTCAGTGTCCTCCACCCCTCTCTGCCAATCTCTCCACTGACCACCACTCAGTGTCCTCCATCCCTCTATACCAATCCCTCCATTGGCCTCCGCTCAGTGTCCTCCACCCCTCTTTGCCAATCCCTCCACTGACCTCCACTCAGTGTCCTCCACCCCTCTCTGCCAATCCCTCCAGTGGCCTCTGCTCAGTGTCCTCCACCGCTCTCTGCCAATCCCTCCACTGGCTTCCTCTAACCCAACAAATAAAATTCAAAATACTAACAACTTACAAAGCCATTTACAACTCCGAGTTACATCACCAACCTCATTCCAAAATATCACCCAAACCATCCTCTCCGCTCCTCACAAGATCTCCTGCTCTCTAGCTCACTCTTTAGCTCCCTCATCCCCTCCCGCCGATACTCACCTCTAGGACTTCTCCAGAGCCTCTCCCATCTTCTGGAACTCTGTACCTCAAAATGTCTGGCTATCTCCTACTTTCCAAGTTTATGTAATCCCTGAAATCTCATCTCTTCAAAGAAGTCTATCCCACCCCCCCCCCCCCCCCCCCCCCCACCTAACGACTGTACTTTTACTTTCTCCAGCAGCTCATCCCCCAGTTATTACCTTTTGTATCACTTGATCCTTCCTGTTTCTGTTGTAAGCCCCTGGTGCCCAACTATGTCCCAAGAGCCACATGTGGCCCTTTAGTGTTTGAAGTGCAGCCTTTGAGCCCCAGCAGTCAGTAGAGGGAACATTTGAGATTTGAAAAGGGTCCCTTAGAAGTAAAGTCTTGCAGTTTCAGGCAACATGGCCCTACAGTCTCCTATTGCATCATTATTATTATTATACAGGATTTATGGCGCCAACAGTTTGCGCAGCGCTATACAATATAAGGGGGGGGGGGGCGGTACAATTACAATACATTTCAGTACAGGAGGAATAGGAGGGCCCGGCTTGTGGAGCTTACAATCTACAGGAAGGGGGAGGTGATACAAAGGGTGATAACTGCGGGGGATGATCTGGTGGTGGTGGCTCAAGTACAGTTCTTAGGTGGGGGTGGGGTAGGCTTCCCTGAAGAAGTGAGTTTTCAAAGATCGCCTAAAGGCAGACAGGGTGGGGGTTGACTGGACACACTGTGGTGGGGAGTTCCAGAGAATGGGAGAGGTTCTGGAGAAGTCCTGGAGGTGAGTGTGGGAGGAGGTGATGAGGGAGCTAGAGAGGAAGATATCTTGGCAGGAGCGGAGCGGGCGATATCTGTGGATGAGGTCGGTGATGTAGCCGGGGCAGTGTTGTGGACGGCTTTGTAAGCTGTGGTTAGCAATTAGAATTTTATACATTGGGTTAGTGGAAGCCAGTGAAGGGATTGGTAGAGAGGGGTGGAGGACACTGAATGGAGGCCAGTGAAGGGATTGGCAGAGAGGAGTATAGGACAATGAATGGAGGCCAGTGAAGAGATTGGCAGAGAGGGGTGGAGGACACTGAGTGGAGGCAGGTGGAGGGATTGGCAGAGAGGAGTGGAGGACACTGAGTGGAGGCAGGTGGAGGGATTGGCAGAGAGGGGTGAAGGACACTGAGTGGAGGTCAGTGGAAGGATTGGCAGAGAGGGGTGGAGGACACTGAGTAGAGGCCAGTGGAGGGATTGGCAGAGAGGGGTGGAGGACACTGAATGGAGGGCAGGAGGGATTGGCAGGGGGTGGAGGGATTGGCAGTTGAGAGGGGGGGTGGAGGACACTGAGTGGAGGCCAGTGGAGGGATTGGCAGAGAGGGGTGGAGGACACTGAGTGGAGGCCAGTGGAGGGATTGGCAGAGAGCGGCAGAAGTCGCTGATCGGTTGGTAAGGTGTATGAGTCTAGCAGCAGCATTCATAATAGACTGAAGGGGCGATAGCCTGTGTTGCACGTATTTCATGACTTCAGCCTCTAACCATTCCAGTAGAATATTTTTGACCATTTCCTCTAGTAAGTCTTCAGTCTGCAACAGTTTTCTGGAGCATTACATGCAACAAACATTATATGCTGCCCTTTGGACACAGTAGGGGCCACATTTGAGGCCCCCTATACCTTGCAAGTTAACAACCACTGCTATAGACTCTAATGAGCGGGGCCCTCTGATCCTTCTTGTATTGAATACTATCATAACTGTACTGTGGGCATGGGGGGTATTTACCACAAGGCAAACAAGGCATTTGCTTAGGGTGGCATTTTTCAGGGGGGCAGCACCACTCCCTGGAAGAAGGAACAGAAGAAGGGGCCCATGCGGCATGGGGACCAGGTGGGATCCGAGAGAGGCTGCGGACTGTTTGAAGGTGTATGAAGAGCCTCAGAGACTCTCATTCCAGGGGATGTCTGGACCTGTGAAGGTGGGGACCTGTGAAGGGGGTGTACGCTGTATGGAGGGTGGTGGTAGTGGAAGGCTTTCTCGGATGGGGGTGGAGGGGGGAGGTGGTATTGGTTGGTGTCAGGCTCTCTCCGTGGGAGGGGGGGGGGGCAGCCAATTTTTGTGTTGCCTGGGGCAGCACAAAATCTAAATTCACCGCTGACTGTGGGCCCTCATTTTGTAAAGTAAGACACAAACTGTCAGCTGTATATAAATCCTGAATAATAATAATCATTTTTGGTTTTGGGTTTAGATTCCCTATAAGTCCTGTTTTTGGTACAGAACAATTCCTCAAAGTGAAAACCCCCTTTGAAACCGAACGAATACATTTCTTTTTCTTCTTTGAATACGACTTCCATGGTGGTAACCCTTAAAGGAGATCAAAGAGCGGCATATTATGGATGATCTGAGGGCCTCTAATCTCCATCAACTCCATTAATATAACACGGCAAACCGAACAAGAAATCCTCCGCCATTCCCTTTGTGGTTTGACGTGCGACGACTAAATGGAAGAAGAGACCGATTTTAAGAGACGGCCGTATTAACGCGCCCTGGCCGCTCTTCACATGACTCCTCATCACAGCCATCGGCGCGAGGATTTGTCGCTTTATGGGGGAATCTGCAACCCTTTACATCTCTCCGGAGCTCCACAATGAACAATGGCAGCACACATACGCCATTAATGTCAAAGAGAAGCAGGACACATGGAAATTTCCTGCCGCAGAGCTCCATTCCTCATCATGTGGAATTTTTCACATTCTTCTTGCAAAACAAAAGCGCGTCCTGTTGGTCTGTCATCTGCTTTTTTGGCCTTAGTTAAGGGCTTGGGAAAGAGAAGGAGGAGGCGGAGCGTGGCGCGCATGGACGTATGTATGGATTTAGTGGCCTCGCTACAGTCCATCCATCATGTGCAATGGCCTTTTGGGAGTGTTCGCTCTTTTCCTGTGTGCTTAGATCGCTTCCTTCCACTGAAAAGGCCGGCTTCATCATCAACAAATCACAAGTCAGGCTCTGTATTCTGCGATGTGAAACCCATCATGGTGAAGGTCTGTCCTAGACTGGATATTGTCTCAGATGTGGAGTTATATTCGATGCTGAGATTCAAAGCTGAACCCCAGGAAGATACAAAGCAGGAAGTAGAAAAAAAAAAACAGCAGCGCTAAATTCTTACAAATAATAACTGAATAAATTCCGAAAAGAGTTACCGTATGCACTCACCGGCCACTTTATTAGGTCCACCTGTTCCATGGCTCAGTAACACAAATTGCTAATCAGCCAATCACATGGCAGCAACTCAATTAATTTAGGCATCTAGACGTGGTGAAGATGACTTGCTGAAGGTCATGCTGGGGAAAAAAGGGGGATTTAAGTGACTTTGAACGTGCCATGGTTGCTGGTGCCAAACAGGCGGTCTGAGTATGTCAAAAACTGCTGATCTACTGGGGTTTTCATGCACAGCCATCTCTGGGGTTTACAGAGAATGGTCCGAAAAGGAGAAAATCTCCAGTGAGTGGCAGTTGTGTGGAGGAAAATGCCTTGTTGATGTCAGAGGAGAATGGGCAGACTGGTTCCAGATGATAGAAAGGCAACAGGAATTCTGATAACCACTCATTACACCCAAGGTATGCAGAATACCATCTCTGAACGCACAACACGTCCAACCTTGACGCAGATGGGTTACAGCAGCAGAACACCACACCGAGTGCCACTCCTGTCAGCTAAGACCACACCAGGGGCCTAATCCTGTCAGCTAAGACCACACCAGGGGCCAATCCTGTCAGCTAAGACCACATCGAAGGCCACAATTCCTGATCACAGAAATTCACAATCAGGTGCCAAAAACATTCAGCTAAGATGACAGGAAACAGACTACGACATTTGCACAGGATCACCAAAATTGGTGACAATAAAAGATTGGAAAAACATTGCCTGGTCTGATGAGTCTGGTGATTGTCAGCTGTGGATTCAGATGGTAGGGTCAGAATTTGGGTGTGTCAACATGAAAGGGGATCCATCCTGCCTTGTATCAATGGTTCAGGCTGTGGTGGTGGTGTCATGGTGTGGTGGATCCATCCTGCCTTGTATCAATGGTTCAGGCTGGTGGTGGTGGTGTCATGGTGTGGGGATCCATCCTGCCTTGTATCCATGGTTCAGGCTGGTGGTGATGGTGTCATGGTGTGGGGGATCCATCCTGCCTTGTATCAATGGTTCAGGCTGGTGGTGGTGGTGTCATGGTGTGGTGGATCCATCCTGCCTTGTATCCATGGTTCAGGCTGGTGGTGATGGTGTCATGGTGTGGTGGATCCATCCTGCCTTGTATCAATGGTTCAGGCTGGTGGTGGTGGTGTCATGGTGTGGTGGATCTATCCTGCCTTGTATCACGGTTCAGGCTGGTGGTGGTGGTGTCATGGTGTGGGGGAGATTTTCTTGGCACTAGCAAGGTGGACCTAATAAAGTGGCATAGGAGGATGGGATGGGAAATTTTCCAAGAGCTTAGTCAATGAGTTGAAACTCTGCTGACTTCTCTCATCCAATCATGTGCAAGCAAAACATCTGTCTTTTTTTTCCTGGAAGTGATTGGATATTCTTTGAGAAGTAAAATTTCACCACATTCACTGAATTAGGAGGTAATCTGCTTGCAAAGTGAAAATGCCCCCACAAAGTGAGCCGCCTATTTGTCTTGGACCATCCCCATTGTCTCCCCGATTCAGTCTTTTTCCATTCCCATCTTTTTTTCTCTATTTTTGGATTTGTTTTGTTTTTTGTTACATTTTACTTTTTTTTTTCAGTGAGGATAATATCCTCTCTTGCCGAGTGGGCGGTCCTTATATGCCTTTAGTAATACAACCTGTAAGTGATTAAATCAGCCGCCTTCATTTAAAGGTCAGGTTGGGGTTAAGAGAGTCCCATTAGGAGGTCAGAGTCAGGTTAGCTGGTTGGCGTTGGGTTCAGGGTAACACTTCGATGGATGGAAGGACTCTTCTGGATCGGATACTTTCCTCTCGTATGTTTCTGTGTTGTGCCAGGACAGGACGCACCCACCCAAGGACGCACCCGCAAGGACGCACCCACAAGGACGCAACCGGGACGCACCCGCAAGAACGCACCCACCCGCAAGGACGCACCCACCCGCAAGGACGCACCAACAAGGATGCACCCACCAGGACGCACCCACCAGGACTCACCCACAAGGACGCACCCACCGGGACGCACCCACAAGGACGCACCCACCGGGACGCACCCGCAAGGACTCACCCACAAGGACGCACCCACAAGGACGCACCCACAAGGACGCACCCACAAGGACGCACCCACAAGGACGCACCCACAAGGACGCACCCACAAGGACGCACCCCACAAGGATGCACAAGGACGCACCGCACAGATTTATTCATCAGATATTCTGTACCCCGAAAGTCTATGAGCACCGAGGCTCGGGTCACATCTCCGTGTGTCGGGAACGCATACAAAATCGCATGCCCCATGAGTTGTCAGTCCGCCCTGTGCTTACCCGACAGGCAGACAAAAGTGTTGCGCGTTCGCAAACGCATGGAGGTGCCATTGATTGTTAATGGCACCCCCATGCATCTGCAACGCACGCATTTTTTAGGGTGCCACAGCGCCATGCACATCGGTGCCGCAAGATTTTGGAAAAGCGTCAGGGACTTCATAGAGCAGCCTATTGAAAGGGTGAGCCTGACATAAGGGGAACTGTGGGGGGAACTCCGCTAGGGACTCTGAGCAAGGGTGCTCAGATGTAAGGGAGACTCTGATGGGGACTCGGACATAAGGAGAGACTCTGGTGTTGTCCTGATGTAGGGAGACTCTGATGGGCACTCTGGGGGTACTCTTATGAAGATCCTGACATAACAGGGGCTGTGATGGGAACCCTGATTTGGGGGGGAGGGGGGCGCTCTAATACTCTAATAGGGATTGTTATGTAGGGAGACTCTGTTGGGGACTCTGATGTAAGGGTATGTCTGATGGAGACTCTAATATAAAGGGGGACTGGTGGTGGACACCTTGATGTAGGGTGACTTTGTCAGGGATTCTGACGTAAGAGGGTCTCTGATGGGGATTCTGATATAAGGGGGGACTCTGGTGGGCACCTTGATGTAGGGAGACTTTGTCAGGGATTCTGATGTAAGAGGGTCTTTGATGGGGATTCTGATAAAAGGGGGGACTCTGGTGGGCACCTTGATATAGGGAGACTTTGATGGGGACTCTGACATAAGAGGGTCTCTGATATAAGGGGGACTCTGTTGGAGACCCTAACATGAAGGGAAACTTGGATAGGGACTCTGACATAAGGGGGGACTGTAATGAGAACCCTGATATGAGGGAGGGCACTGCAATCAGGACCCTGATGTGAGGGGGGACTCTGAAAAGGACCCTGCTGTAGGGAGACTTTGATGGGGACTCTGACATAAGGGGGTGTCTGATGGGTACTGTGATAAAAGGGGTCTCTGATAGGGACCCCAGTGTGAGAAAACTCTGATGTGTACCCTAACACATAGGAGTACTCTCATGGAGACTCCGACTTAAAGGGGGGCTATGATGGAAATCTTGATGGGGGGGCACTCCAATACGGACTCTGATGTAAGAGGATTCTAATAGGGCCTTTGACAGGAAGGAAGGAAGTGTCTGATGGGGACATATAAGAGGATGCCCCGATGGGGATTCTGATATAAAGGGGTCTCTGATGTGGACCCTGGTGTGGGGGGGAGGGGGACTCTGAAAGGAGACCCTGATGTTAGGAGACTTTAATGGGGTCTCTGACATAAGGGGGTCTCTGATGGGTACTGTGATAAAAGGGGGACTCTGATGGAAACCCTAATGTGAGGGAAAACTGTGATGGGGACCCTAACATCAGGTGGTACTCTCATGGAGATCCTGACATAAAGGGGGATGATGATGATGGGAACCCTGATAATGGGGGGGGGGCACTCCAATAGGGACTCTGATGTAAGGGGACTCTAATGGGGACTTTGAAATAAGGAAGTGTCTGATGGGGACACATAAGAGGACA